CACAGCGGCTGCCACGGGAAGTTTAAAAGCCCCGACAAACCCTGCGGTAAGGGGAAAGCCAGAGGAGGAGAGAGGAGGCGTGCAGCACGTCGCTGCCACTGCGGCTTCCCCAAAGCCAGAGCCTCAGGCAGGCAACTGGGCATCAGTCCAGCAGCTGAGGTGAGAGCCAGAAGCCCCGGTTGGGGCAAGAGGAGTGACTCCCAGCCTTTGCTGGGAGCAGAGCAGCAACTCAGGAAGTTCTCCCATTCCCGAGGAGCAGTATTTTTGAGAGCAGGGGAGAGAAAAAAGAAAAGGATCCGAGCTAGCGGCCGGGTCAGGCGGAGACGGAGCCAGGCTGCCGGAGGACGACCGTTGGCCTTGGGAAGGCCTGCCAGAAAGAAGTGCTTCAAGTAGCGGCGGATGACCATCTCATCAACAAGTGACCGGTTGGCGAGTGGACGGGGTGCAGGGGTGGCGGAGCCCAGTGGAACATCTGAGGACCCAACCGTGAGTACCCCCCTTTACGTCGGGCGAGCCCCTCTGGCAGAAGATCTCCACTGAACCCCTCCTTCGAATCACTTAACATCCAAGTCGTGGCAGGGGGGATGGGGGGGGGGGGCTACCAGACGAAGGGCGGTACCGGACGGGAGGCCCACAGACGTCACAGCCGCTTAAAGGTGGGGAGAGGTGTGAGGGGCAGGGGGAGCAGGGCCTTGCTGTACTCTTTCTACTGTCTGATCTCTGGTCTGTACCTCAGGGCAGTTCCTGATGCTGAGGCTGTTCCAACATGTTCTCACAGGCTGCTGACCATCCCTGCAGATTCTCCTGCTGGGTTTGGGAGTGTGGGAGGAGCGGAGGGGACAAGAAAGGTTGCAAAGCACAGTTCTGTCTGTGCATCTGTCCATCCACCTACCCAATCACAGCAGATCATGCTGTTGGGAGCATTCAGGGGACCAGCACAGGGACTGCCTGGGGGGCTGGGAATGGCAGGGGAAGGTAGCAGCAGTGGCAGCCAGCAGTCCCCAAAGGAGAAGCCTCAGGCATCACTGGAATAGCTGGGGCAGGTGCGGGGTGCTGGACAGGGAAGAAGAACATTCATCCTTAACAGGATCTTGTGGCACTCTTCCATCACTCTCTTGGCACACTGGAATCACTGAACTAAAGGTTTTGCTTCATCATGCTGAGTAAAAGTACTGGCAGTGATAGTGATACACAACATGGTTTGATGTTTTCCTTTCCTTTCCTGTTTTTCATATTGCTAACTGACTCAGGCTGGATTGATCCTTTGAGACAGGGAGGGAGAACCAGATACTGCAATAAGTGTGGTGTTGCTCTCTCTTTCATATCAGCACTGAACCAATTACCCAATACTGTGTTAGGAAAACAATACCATTTTCTAGTTCAGTTATGAAATGAATGTTCTGACTAGATCTAGATGGGAATTTCCAACAGCTTGCTGGCCACAAAAATGAAACCTTTTCTCATGAATATATCAGTTTTGCAAAGCTCCATGGGATACTTTCCCCCCATCCCTCCTAGTTTTTATGGTGAAAACTGCAAAATAACTTAACGGTCAGGGCATTCATTTGGGTGACCCAGGCTCAGATCCCTGCTGTGAACCAGTCTTCTAAAATAAATGCCCTGACCAAACAGGTCATTGGCTAGCCTGGAGTGGACTTTTCTGCGAAACCCCCCTAAAAGTCTTGGTTTTGTCCTACTGCTAAATGAGAAATAAAAAAATAAATTAAAAACATTTCATGGGATGGGAAACAGTTTCTCATTCAGCTCTAGTGCTGACTACTTATACTTATTCTTGTTATTATTATTAAATTTTCATAGTATTTTTCATAGGAACCTCTCAGTCACAAAGTTCTTGCTCAAGAAATTGTGTTCTTTGAACATAAATGTACTAAGCATTGAATCACTGGCGACACGTAGGGGGTGTATGTGCACCCCCTGAGTGTGGCAGTGACCCCCTATGAAAAGATGCTGCCGACCCTGTTGGCAGTACCTGTGGGTGTCTGTGACTCACCACCCCCACCACTGACACTGCCAGTGGCACCTGTGGATGGTCAGCGATTGCCGCTGGCTGCCAGCAGCGTCTGCAGGTGGTCGCTGACCCCTGGTTGGTACTCACCACCTGCCCGCCCCCCCGCCCCACAGTACCATAGCTACCTGAGGGAGCTCCCAGCTTACCGCCGCCATGCTTTTGCTACCACTGTGAACCCCCAACTGCCGGGGGCCCAAGTCATTCATGCATTGAACAGAGTAAAAGTAAACCTCAGTTCTTGCCCCACCTGCCATGTGCATCTGTATTTTGCTAATGATTAAGTAATTCTTGCATATAATTTGTTCATAATTAAGTTTACAAAACTGATTGACTTCTTTAGGAGGATTCATACGGCATAAATGGAAGAAATTTGTAGTTTTATTTACTCTTAAATAATATCAATAATGGATGAAATCTTCCAGTCTTTGTTCATCTAATATTAAGATAAAAACCCGTATTCTACTAAAGTGGTAGTTTGCATGAGTAAAGGGCAAAAATAAATATTTTTATAATTAAAAATTAAATTAATTAACTAATTGTATATATTTAAAATAATTTTATTAATCAATCAATCAATCCTAGCTACAGGGATATTGTATATTGTCCTCCAGGTAAGGACAAAAATTGTCCATCTAGTTTGATATCCTGACTGACCGAGGCCAGCATCAGCTGCTTCAGAGGAAGTATTAAATCACTGTAAAATCTGTTCATGGGCAAATTAAAAGATATCTTATGATCTGACATGAGGCATGAGGGTTTGTACCCCTTTCACATGAACATAACATATTAGGACTTTAACATTTCCTTACAAGCCTTGGCCTTATGGCCCATTTAACATCAGAATGGAAGGATATGGGCCTTTATTACTGAAGAAAAAAAAGTCTATGCACTCTTGATGGGGAATAATTAAAAAAATTACAGTTTCCCTGACAATAAACCAGAGAGATGGATAACTTTCCTTCCCCTCACATAAATTTATCTAATGAGAAAGTATAAATTAACATTATAGATATGATTTATATAGTTTAATATGACTAAATGTTATTGCCTTAATTAGATCACTGGATTAACTTAAGTTTTATGTACATTTCAAAATCATTAGAAAAAAAGAGGATAAAAAAAACGCAATGACCTATTTTTCTGGCATTATATTTCTGCATAGGAAACTATTATCTGAAAAAATGGATTACAAGTTTTATTTAAAGTGGCAGAAGTAAGCCATATACCAGTCTCTCTCTCACAGGTAACAGCATCTGCTGTTGATGAAATACAATGGGTATCTAAGACACATGCAGAAAACAAGAGATAAAATTAGCTACAACCCTAGAACACAAACTCTTCCAAAGAAATGATCCAGCAATGAAAACATATATGGCTGATTAGAAGCAATATGGAATTAAAAATAGAAGTTAGAGATCAGAAAAGAATGACAAATCTCCTCTCTCCAGGTGTATCTTTACAATCTTGCAAAAGCTACACAAAAATACTTTGGCTTTCAATTTGACGTCCCACTCTGCAAAACTCTCCTATATTCAACTCCTTTGATTCAAAGAAACACTTAGAAGTCTGAGGAAAAAAACCAAAACCCTCTAAAAAAATGCTCTTTTTTATAAATTTGCTTCTACCTGGGGAAATTCTGCTTTCTGTACTGTTAGCATTGCTCTTGGCCTCCAACCTGCACTTATGCTATTTTGGGGCCATATTTGCTTGAAACATTTGCTGGACTAGACCTTCTCCTGAAGTCAACGGAAATGGAAATGATTATGAAGCTGGGATATGAATTCAAAATGCAATAAACTGACTTGGGTAAATTATCAGAACAGCATTCATCTCAGCAGTTGTCTCAATTGTACATTAAAAGAAAGTTGAAGAACATCTCTTATCCCACACAAAAGAGTAAAAACACTGACTTTGAATCAACCTAAATGTTAAAAAAAGCCTACTTTATTAGAAGTGTCCCAGCTCTTTGTCCTCAGTCTAAATGACAATGGTCAGCTGCCAGCTTAGTCACTTTCATCAACAACATATTTTTATTTTTTCATTGTATGGGAAAAAGTTGTATGCAACTGACTTCAGCTTAAAAATCACCCACATCAGTCTTTGTGTCAGATCCTATTTCAACTGTAAGGCACTTGACTGTGATTCTATTCCATGTCAAGTCTCTGTAAAATCATTAACATGCCTATTTTGGTAGATGCCATCATCTAGGTTTAAACTCTTTAAAACTTATCCTAAGCAGGGGGCCGGAGCAGGGTGGGATATAATGATATGTAAATGCTGGATGCCCAGAATTGGATGTGGTCCAGAGTGTTTTGACTTTTTCAGAGGGCATACAAGGACTCTACCTCCCCTGCTTACAGTTTTCTATACATTTTATAGAGGGAGCTTTTGGTCTCCATGGAGTTCATATGAAACCTTTTAAAAGCACATATCTGTCACCTTATGGCTAGGGACAGAAGTTCCACATAAACCATTTTAAGTGATCAGAAACTGGGTTAAACCTGTAACAGAACAGAAGTTCAGTGCACATAAACCAGTTTCAAAATGGCTGAAACTGGTTTAAGATAAACCTGGTTGAATGTAATATCAGGCTTATCTGATTTGGGTGAAACTGGTTTATGAAACTTCTGCCCCAGACCCCTTCCTGGTTCAAGTTAAATCACAGTCCCTAAGCATCCCAGCATGCTTTTCAGCCCTGGGCTGTGCTGTGCTGTGCTGTCAGCTTCAGCAGAGAAGGGTTGGGTGGGGGGAGGCAGGGACTGCCCCCGCCCCCAGGAAAATCCCAGCTGGAGCCTGGGGCCAGGGAGCAGGGTTAAACTTCCCTTCCCCTGAGTACAGAGCTTCCTTGCCCTGCTAAAAACATACTGCTGGTTGTGACTATGGACTACAAATCAAAAATGTACCTGGAAGCAGGAAGAGAAAGTGATGAGCAACCCTGCAGAGTCCTACTGTTGTGATTCTGGACTGCCAATCCCAGAGACCTCGGGGGCAACAGGAAGAGGAAGTGAACACATAGCCTATGCTGGCTACATGTCAGAAAGCTATGCTCTAGAGCCCCCTGACTTATGGCCTAAGCCACTGCAGGTATGTGGTTTCATTTCCTGAATCAAAAGTGAATACCTGTCCAGTTGTTTCTCAGTTTAATCTCTGCATTTTAGAGTAACCCGCACAGACTGAATTGATTCAGCCTTGGGCTCTTTGACTGTCTGTACTTAGCCTATAAGTTTCCATTAAATATTCCTTTCTTTACATATGTATTTTCTTCCTGGGTCTGAATAGCCCTTGGGGCTCCCTCAATCCTTAAAGATTCCTGATGGCCTAAATGAGACCCAACAGGCCTTGGAACAGAAGGAAGAATAATTCTAAGGCAACCTTATACAGACCGAAAGTATGACTGAAATCCTTTGTTATGAACCAATACTTAATCCCATCTCACAACAATCCATGTGCCAGCGCAGTTTAGTGCATTATATACAAGTGTCAGTGGCCAAAGGACAGGGTCAAGTTCCATAGGCAATACTATTTAAGCAAATGCATAGTTTAAAAGTCCACGTGTATATTTGTTTCTACTGACACATGCCAACATCTTAACTTTACCTATTTTTAACACCCATATATGGGGGCTGTGCATGTGTGAGATTAACACATTTCACTTGCTGAAGTTATTTATTCTTTGTGTTATCTGTTTTCAATTTAACTTACACTGTTACAATTTACTAACTACACCAAGTGAAAATGACAAAAGTAAAAATGAATTAACCTGATCCCAGTCAGCATTCTTTTCATTATCTTCATAATAAGTAGTCATATATTCTCCATTCTTATGCTCTGATGTAAAAGGAATATTTATGTTCCCAGTATCTCTCATTGTCATACTATGTTGCCTTCTTTTGTGACTATGGATTTGTCTATTTGTGTTGCACATTCCTCCAGACCTCAGCTTGCTTAGAAGTTCGTCTACTTCTAGGAATTTATTAGAAAATATGATGTCACTTTGTTATAAATGCAAAAGAAATATCTCACAGTATCACTTGTTGACAACTTAAAATGGAATACAGTACGTTAATTTAACTAATAACCAATTTTTTTCCTCTAGTAAATTTGGAGATAAAAGACTCAAGTTGGACAGCTTGGCAGTCTAAAGTCATCCATAAACTGGCGGATATTTTTCCACATTGTGACATTAACATGTTTTCCTCTTGAACATCTCTAAGAAAGAGAGAAGGCAACTCACCCTTTATGTCATGCAATCCTCTGTTGTAATTATTGATTTGAACTGGCTGCAAATTATTTAGTAGTGAAGGACCCTGGGCTTGCATGGAATAATTTGCAGAGTAAGGGCCAAAATGATTTTTGTGAACTAGAGGATTGTCCATTAAGCTCATGGCAATGAATTGGTGACAATTTGTTTCAAAGGGCTGTTTAACTAGTAAACAGATATTAAAAGTGTATGTAGCCCCACATTATTTTATAGCACGTGTTATTTAGAACATTTAGCTCCTATCAGTGTTTCAGTTTTGTCTGTTACAAAAACTAGCAAAGTAACTGTAGTCAGCTTTAATTTTTTTCCAGTGTTTGCAATTGCAATTTTAATGCATTTAAAATGACAAATGACTATAATAATCAATATAAGCTTAAAACATAAACACTATAAAAATTGTTTAGAATATCCTCTGGATTCCAGGAATGGCATCCAGTGACCACAATGGGAATCTTGCTTTTGACTTCAGGGGAACCTAGTTTTGTATGTAATCACATACAGCACAGCTGCACCATGATTGGCTGTATCCACTGCTACGTTATGAGTGCTATGTTCACAGTTTTTAAGAGGCAGGTATTTATTAAATACCCAGGTTTAATTGAAGTAATGTTGTCTTGGAATTAGAAAGTGGGACTGGGAGTTGAGAGACTTCAGTTCCTCTGTGCTTCAGCTTATTTGCTCTGCAATCTTAATTATCAGTTTGCCCCTTTGACTCAATATAATGTAACGGGACTGACAATATTTTCTTTTCTCAGTAGTGCATCATGAAGATTAATTAGTATTTTTGAGTTTCTCATAAAATGCTATCATTAGCCAATGAACCACAAGTCAAAAAACATTATCTGCCTTAACTTTAGCTCTTACTGGTATTAGGCATCTAAATTGGCTTAATTTCCCAAGTGCTGAGCTTCCAGCATCTCTTACTGAAATTAATGAGAGCTGTTGCTGTTTAACGGTTAGAAAATTAGGTCCTTTGTTCAGATTCCTTATTTTTTGGTCCATTTAAAAAAATTCTAGGGTGTACATATTCATAATTAAGTTTAGCTGTATCCAGAAAAGTAGCTAACAAAACTGTAGAATTTCAAATGGACTTTATGGCCATGTTTACATGGTATACTAACTGCTCCCAAGAGCAGTGTCCTCAAGCTCATGCATTGCTCTGGGAGAGCTGCTTTCTAAACTCTAAGCATGGTAGCTGTGCCTCACATACACTGCTCTGGAGCACAGTAATTTACCATGTAGAAATGGCCTATATGTTCTAAACTCACTGGATGTGAGTGACATTAGAAAGTGGGTAGGGGGAAAGGTGCAAACTTTTGAATCAGGTAGAGATCATAAAGTATCCAGTCAAGACAAGATGGCTAATGCCTACAGCACCTTCTCTCAGAAGCTTCCCTTACCTCACACTACAGTTGTGTCTAGTACACTCTCAGAGAGAGGCTACTCTGGGCAGTCCCCAGGATCTAGTAACTAATATCACTTTAATTAATAGTGGAAATACAGAGATATGTTTTATGTGACTGAAAAGGGTTTTCAAACTAAAAGTGAACTTGCCTCCCAGCATTCTTCTTGCACTTAGAAGAAATCTACCTAGTAAATATTAGATGAAGAGGAAATTCAAGTTCTCTTTAGCAAAATGCATAAAATCTTTTTGCCATTTCCGGTAAGTACTACATACAAACTGACACAGAGGGCAACTTGAAATACACAGCCTTACCTGCTAGTTGGAGTTCATTAGTGCTGTTTAGAGAACTGAAAATATATTTTATAAAGAACTCTGGGGCAGGTAAATTTGATTTCCCCATGCAGACTCCTTGGAGAGCCAACGTAATGATTGTAGCAGCCAGGCGAGGAAGCGTATTTTCATCTGCACCTTCACTGTCCAATATATCAGCTTTTTTCTCCAGAACACTTACATCAGTGCACTGAAACCAGGAGATAATTGAATTAAGACATTCTTGGTCACATTAGTTAACATAATCAGGAGGAAGGAGAAGAAGCTGGAGAGGACAGAAGCCTGATGTTTAGGCAGAAGCCCAACATTGATGTTATGATGTAGGGCATAACTGACAGCGCTGAAAGGAACAGAGGGCTCAAGGACCTAAGACTGATTTCTAAAAAGGAGGATTATGTGAGATTCATTTCAGTCACATAAGGGGAAAGACCTAGGCCTAGGAAGAAGGAAAGGAACTTGAGGCAACAGTTAAAAGTGTTATGGCCAATTAGTTACTTTTCAAGTTATTTTTCATGTCATTTCATGTCTTTTAGGAATTTTGCTTCCAGCAGCACAGCTAGTAAAACCCCTAAAATGGGCAGAAGAGCAAAGAGAGGAAGGGATGTTTTGACTAAGAGGAGTGAGACTCAGAGAATCTAGATGAAGTTTCTACCTCTGCCACAGACTTCAGATTCAGTCTTGGGTAACAGCTTTAATTACTTCTATTGCTCATCTATAAAATGGGTGTGAAAAATGCTCACTTTCTCCTTAACCTTTGTCTCTTTTGTCTATACTGCAAGCATTTTGAGGCTGTTTTTTCACAGTACATGTTTGTAGTGCCATGTTTGTAGTGCCTACTACAATGAAGCCCTGATCACAGCTGAAGTCTCTAGGAGAGCCAAAGAGGAGGAAATGTATGAGATAAATGTAAAGAAAAGGATAGTTTGTGAATGAATACCTACATGCATTTAGTACAACTACATATAGAGTTATCATAATGACAGGAGTGAAAGTACACTGAGCATGCAATTACAGTGACCAAACCTCATTACAGTACATATCATACACAAACATACTTCTGCAAATGGGTTTGAACTTTTGGTCTGAACCTTGAAACTCCTTGATCAACTCTCATCAGAAACATTTAGAATCATATTTTCATTTTGTTCTAAAGGTGGTGTAGTCTCCTGATTATACTATTCCAACATGCTTGTCTGTTTTCTGGAAACAAAAGATTCAGATACATAGTCATAGTGACCTTGCCTTGGCTAATGGCATACTGCTAACTTTTTGCAAACAGCAGTAAGGACAAAATTATACAGGTTAATAGGGTCTTATTCAAGTTAACTGGACTGAGTTTAAAAAGCCATAGATGCAGTAAATATCTATTAAGCCCACACACATCTCATACTGTACACATCATAAAAAGTCTGATCTACAGTCAGTATCTCACCATACAACCTGAAGATCTTTCTCTGCTTCTAACTAGATAAATTAGTGGTTGTGATTGAGGAGGACACAATTGCTATACAACCATAAAATGCAGACAACTGACTAAAATGATTCTCTTCTCTGGTCCTTGGATTAAATGTCTCTTCCCCTAACCCTGGGTTCTATGATTAAAGGCATTAGATGTGCTGTAGAGTTCTTCAGCATCTTAGATAAAGTTTCTTTCTGTCCTCATCTTAGTGCATGATTAAGTCACAGTTACTAAACAGGCTTTCTGATTGCACTGTAAATAAACAGACCACACAGTAAAGCACTTGATAGACTGTTACTCAATCTTGACATGCCAAATAGTCACCAATGCCTCTTTATAATTGCTCAGATACTGCTCAAGTTCCTGGAAATCAGCACTTTCACTGTGACTTAGAACCAAACATCCTAGTCAATGAATAATTTATGATGGGAAATGATTACACAAAGGACACTAATGGAAAAAGGAATTGCAGGCCCTCTGCTCAGGCTGCCTAGTCAAAGGCATCTAACCTGTTTGCTCTCACTACTGCTACTAGAGTACAGTCTAAATTAAAAAGCAGGGAGATGGGGAAAAAAGTTAATTTCAGGTTCATTACAAAACCAAGGTTGTGTGACATGAAAGGATCTGATAAGCTTTTCACACAGGTCAATGGATCTCTTACACGAATGGTTCCCAGAATTTCTCAGTCCATGGGCAACAATAAAGAACAAGTGACATGCTGAGGGAAACCTCTTATTTTTTTCTCCCTGCAAACCTGACATCTTGTATCTTCTGACCATGAATAATGTTGGAGAGCCTCTGCCCCCAGGTCACAGGCTGGGAACCAAGTGTCATAATATCTGGCTACTTTGAAAATCTAGTAAATATGTTTCATTACTTTAAACTGTGAGACTAGATTACTTAGATTGTAAATTACTTGGGCAGGACTATTTTTTATTCTTTGTTTGTACAGTTCCAACCACTACAGGACCCTGTTCCTATTTAGTCCACAGGCTCAAACATAAACAAACAACAATAAATAACAGGTAAGCAACACCTTTTTCATTATTTTAAAAGGATGTTTATAGTTAAATAAATGAATGTATTATGTGCCTTTCCAAATGTGAATTTAGTCTTTTTTGCATAACTCTTTCCACCAGGAGGCGTTTACCATGTTAGGTAAAATTAGCTTCAAATATAGTTGTCAATGGCAGGAGATAGCCACATCTTTGGGTGACTTCCCTGTTACATCCAGCTGGGGGGAGAAGGTGGAATGGAGAGGGATTAGCAGGGAACTGGATACAGTGACCAGAATCTGATTCAGATTCAGTTGGAAGCAGCGTTAGATCGACTTGGGAATTGCCTAAATTGTGCCAATTGGGTGTAGTCTTTTAGAGAACACTTTAGTCAAGTGCATCCTTATGGCAGATCTAGCACACAGCCATTTTATCTTTGTCAAGTATTTTGTTGTTTATAACTACTGGATATTTTGTTACCTGGTTTTCAGAAGTTTTAAAACGTTGCCTCATTGCAGCCAAAATATCTTCAGTTTCATTCCGTGAAAAATAATAGCAGTCTTCATCATGCCTTAAACTGAGCAAACTATGCAGGTAAAATTTATAGTCTTTGTTACTCAGACTGATCTTGGAAGAACAGATATCTCTTTGATGAATAATATAGTAGAGAAGAATGAGAGAAATTCTCTGGAACACTTCTTCACTGAGATGGTCCTCTAAATCTCCTCCAGCTATTAATAACAAAGCATCTGGTTCAAGGCACTGTGAATTATTAAAGAAATGGAAATTAGGTTTAAATAACATCATTATTAATCTCTATACCTAGGATTAGAGAAGAGGGGAGCTCAGATTTATTATTAAAGGCCTAGTCTTTAGCCTGCACCAATGCAGAACTTTGTGGTAAAATTATGATCAGTAGGCAAAAAAGTAAAATTGTGCGATATTAGAAGCAGCTCCCCCCCTGCCATATTCTGTTCTATAACCCTCTCTACCTGGGAGTAATGGGACCAGTGCCTAAAGCCTTATCCCCATTTAAGGCTGATCCAATGTTCACTGGAGCCAGCTCAAGGATCCCCATGGACTTAAACAAGCTTTCTTGCCTACACTGCAGACAACTGTCACTAGCACCAAACTGTTCTTTAATTTCTGCACAACTTCCACTCATACATTCATGAAGTTTTTAGAATTAAGTCTACAAAGAGCCAAATTTGTCTCTCAGTTACATCAGAGTAAAAGTGAAAGGAATCAGGATTACTCTGTTTTTGTATCACTGTAAAACAGCAGAATTAGGCCTGTATTTTTATGGATTTTTAAAAAATATGTATGAATTTTTCCGATTAGGTAGTTATGTAATATTCACCCCTGTGCAGTGAACCAGGAAAAGACCTACACACTGATTAACTCCTCAAAACATGTTTTGAGAAAGAGTGAAATAATGCACATGCCTTATACAGGCTCTCTGCATGGCATGGCTTACACTTTCAGGGAAGGTAGAATATGTTAAAACAGCAATATTACAAAATGCCTCTGCAAGACTCCATTTATTCCCATACTTATGCCCCTTTCACTGTCACCTTAGGCAAAGTTCATTGTAAACTGAAAGGCCTGGAAGACCAAGAAACTCTGGCAGACTGAAGAACTATGGATAAGAAAATTCCAGAAAAGAAATTCCATTTCTGAAAATTATTAACAGGAGTGATGGAGCCCTCAGCTCAGTTTAGCCCAATGCCTGCTAATTGGGGCACTTCATTAAGAAGTTGAAAATGTGCTGGACAAAAGCTGGCTAATTCTTGCTCCCCATTTTCTTTCCACCCTGTCTTGTTATTTAGACATCTAGTTTAGGTTCAGGTAGATTTGTCCTCCATCAGTGAGCTGGATCCCAACAGCACATCTCCCTTTGGAGAGGCAGAATATAATCTAGAGCTTCTTGTTAACCCAACCCATCCTTTCAAATATACCCAATGTGAAATATAGGCAGAGGCAAACATAGGTCGTAGTTACACAGTAACGTGGTAGCAGCATCCTCCAGAATGCTGTGCTGTTTGGGGCTTCTTAACCAGGGAGAAGCATAGCTGCTTCTGCACTGCTATATGGGCAGGTGTAATGGGCCTGAGGTTACAGGTGTAATGGGCCTGAGGCTACTCATTGCAAGAGTAGCCATGATGCCCCCAGAGCAAGGGATAGACATTCAAAAAGCCAGAGATTAAATTGATTCAATCTTTGCAGGTTAGTTTAACCTGGCTAGGCTGAACTAGTTTGTAACTGCGCAGACATCCCAGATATGTAGGGACATGTTTGCAGTGGCTAAGGCTAGAAGCTGGGGGGTGCTAGAGCAGCCCTCTCTTCCCTTCCATAGCACTGAGCTGAGGGGGGCCATGGCCAGACCCCAGCAGGATGCTCTAATTAGCCCAACAGGGAACTGATAACAGTGTTTATCACCCCTAACTCAGTGTTTATTACCCCGAACTCAGTGTTTATTACCCCATTAAGAAAACAACAGAGGGATATTACCAGCTATCTGTTGATTCTGCCTGTTGATTCTACCTGTTGATTCAGCAGGGACCATAGCCAGCATGTGGTGTGCTAGCTAAAACATAGGCACTTCTCTGCAAGGCAGGGGAGAGGGGGGAATTCCTGCTTAGCCGCAAGTGGTCAGGGGAACGGGGGGAGCAGGCCACAGCCTGTGTCAGAGCTGCAGCCAGGGAGCAGAGGGGAGGGGCCAGCCCTGTTGTGGGAGCACCCAGCCCAGAGAACATGTCCGGATGCTGGGAGAGTCTAGTTTGTCTTAAAGCAGCAAGGAGTCTGGGACAGACATTGCATAAACCGGTTTGAGCCAAATCAGTTAAATCTGATACTACATTCAACCAGGTTTATCTCAAACTGGTTTCAGCCATTTTCAAACTGGTTTATGTGCACTGAACATCTGTTCTGTTACAGGTTTAAACTAGGTTCTGATCCCTTAAACCAGTTTATATGTAATGTCTGTCCCTAGCCCAAGTGGCCATACAGCTCCTGCCCACTCAGACTTCCTGGGTACCCTCCCTCTTTTTCTACTTGTCACATCTTCATTGGAAAAATTGGATTATAAAAAGGGAGGCTGCCTCAGGGTCCCAAAGTGAGCCCTTTTTGTTTCTGTTCTCAGTGGGTCAGTCTTTTGTAGCCCTTTTGCTCAGCAGCTCTTCCCTTTTCTACCTGCAAGTCCAGACTGACTGACTGGCCTCAGGTACTGGCCTTATGTGCCTTCCATGCCCTGCCACTTCCTGTCAGGTCATTCTACAACCAGACACAGGATTTCCCATTTTGACCCTGATGAACAACCTGCTTTCTCCTGTTGCAGCTTAGCTCATCTGTTTGCAGCTCTTTATTTCTGAGCTGCCTGTCTGTCTGCCCTAGCACAGCTTGCTGCTGTGCCTTCATTCCCTAATTAGGATGTGTTGGAGCAGACATCCAACATGTGTATAGGTGCCCCCAGTCCTTAGTTGCCTGGTAAATTGAGACTAAGTTCTCTCTAAAGCTGTGGATCTAAAATTTTGATACTCATTTTTTTTTCCATTTCCAGAGCCTGGAAAGCTTTGTAGTTTCATTGCTCTTGGTCTCCATTGACTTGTCAGTTTTATCAAGACCTCACCCATTCCTTAGAGGCATGGAGGAAATGGCCTGTGGATATGAACTAGCCTTGCATTGGGCCAAGTGAAAACAATAATGATAAAACTTTACAAAGCCATTCGCATTGTGTTCATTTATCTCTACCTACCATGAACAGCCTTTGATGTTGCAAATTCAAGCTAGTGCTTTCACTGTAGACTGAAGAGTTTAAAAAATATCTGAAAATTATATGGGGAAAATTATTACCGATATGTGAGAAGTAAATGATACTAAGTCTTTAAGTATGCTTGATATTTGGAGTTTCTTTTTACAAGACTAGATCAGTCATATAAATAATTTGCAATTAAAGCATTTCAGAAGTTCATTTCTGTTTAAGACTGAACTTCTTACAGGGCCAAGATTCAAGGTGGCTTCATCCTAATATAATGATTTTAGAACTCATTTAAATGTTTCCTTCATTAATTGAGGCACTAACCAGATTACAGTCCTCCTGTATCCCATTAGTCCGCTGTGGACATTCAATTCTCTCCAGCAATATTTTGATCAGTTCCCGTGAATGGTTCTTGTGGAACTCAGTGCTGTTGTCAGCTGAAAGAATGCGTAAAACTTCCATCAGCACAGAGCTGCCATCCTGCTTATGCTCTTTCCTAGGCTGTGCTTCTGCAGTAATTGTGCTGAATATGAAAACTGAATATACCACCCAAAAAGTTGGATGCTTGGTCAGAAAGCACATTTCTTCTTCTTTCTGTAGCGCAAGTCTGTGCTGAGTGCTGTAATGTGGTATGCACTTCACAAGTTAGACTTGAAACCGGAGGAATTTCTATGGCAAAGGAAAAAAAACCCTTTAATTAGAGTGACTGCAATATGTTTGAAAGGATTTATTAATTGTTTGGCTAAGCTGATTTGCAGTGACAAGCTGTTTCTGAACAACAGGGGGTCTGTAGAAACTTTACAGCCTGAAATAACAGGAAACTAAGATAAGTGTGGCCTTAAAAATTCTGTAGAATTATGGATAAGAAGGTGAATCAGACTACCCATCCCCCACCACAAAACTTCTAAATGGTCATTTTTCATTTCAGTGTTATGCTACTGTATTTGACAATAATCTTCTTTAGTAAGTATAAGAAAATACCGTTACTTTTACTCCATTACAAAGATTCCCAAGGACTGGCGACATTCATGTACACTAAGTACAAATAAAGTGTGATGAAATAACTCTGATAAAAATGTACAGTAACGATGATATTTAGTAATGATATATAGTGGTCTGCATCTTCAAAACACATTACAAGCATTAACAAACATGAGTTGTAAACAAAAAGAAAAATCATATGGTAACCAGAATTTATACTGCTTTATAGTTAGAGGAAAGTTACAAGTCAGACATCATAATGTTGTTCAAACAGCTTGTAAAAAATTAAACTACACAAAAGGCAACTAATTCTCACTTTAAAAATTCCAGATGCAAAGAGAGCATTCCAAATAGTCAAAGTGACTACTATCCTGCCCATATGCTACCTCACTGTCAGATTTCTTTTAACTCTAATTAATCCTGCCAGAGAAGCATGGTAATGGGGA